ACTGTTTATGGGGCCCCAGATATATCAGATCATTTTCTAGTTGTGCTACACTGAGAGAAAAAGGTGTGGGATAAAAGGAGAATAAAAGCTGGGAAGAGAGAGGTAAAGGTTTATAAATAAAAGGGGAGGCAGTTAGGGTAAGTTAAACAGTTTTGGAGGAAGATGGGCAAATGGAGCATAGGAAATGGGGTCGAAAGAGGTATGGGGTGGTTTAAAAATGAGTGTTAGAGTGTTCAGCGAATTTTGTGGTTAAAGGAAAGTGGGTGCAGGGGGGAAGGGGGAGCGTTTGGTGGAATGATGATGTAAAGAGAGTATAAGGGAAAAAAAGTTAGATAGAGAAGTTTTTACAAAGTAAAGTGGAAGGGGGAAGAGTTAGGGGAAAAAGAGAGGGGTTAAAGGAGTGGGAAGCAAGAAAAAAGGAAGCAAGGGGAAATTTTAATTTACAAAAATTTTTTGAAAATGAAAATTTTGGGTGAGATTAAAAAGTTAAGAAAGCTAGGAAAAAAATGGATTTGTATTTTAAAAAATTGAGAGGAGGTTTTTAAATGGAGAGTTAGAGGTATTGGAAGAGGGAAAGGGAAATATTGGGGGAAATTGTTAAATTTTGATGAAGTGGGGAAGCTGGATTTCGTGTATGGGCAAGGGGGAAAAAATCTTGTGGGGGTGAGGAAAAGCCCGTTGTGGTTGGGGGGGGGAAATTCGTGAGGGAGTAGGGAAATGAAAGGGGGTAGGCACGGGTTTATGGGATAAAGATAGAAATTTAAAAGAGGGGGGTTAGTTTTTGGAGTGTTGGTGCAATTTTTTAAAAATGTATGGAAGAGGGTAAGGTACCTAGGGATTGGGGGATGCTAGTTTTTGTATAAAGGCAAAGGGGATAAAAGAGAGTGCAAAAATTTAGGGGGATAAGTCTGTTTTAGGCCCCGGTAAAGTGTATGGTAGAGTTATAATTGAAGAATTAAGGTAAGACGGGGGAATGGATAGCAGATGAACAAGGAGGCTTTAGGAAGGTAGGGGGGTGGTGGACCAGGTGTTTTACGTGAAAATAAAGGGGAACAGTATTTAGATAAGGCTAAAGAGGTCTTTGTGGATTTATGGATTTGGAAAGGGATGACAGGGTGGATAGGGGGGCAATGTGGGAGATGTTGCAAGTGTATGGTGTGGAGGGAGGTTACTGAAAGCAGTGAAGAGTTTTTACGAGGATAGTGAGGCTCAAGTTAGAGTATGTGGGAAAAGAGGGAAATTTTTTCCCAGTAAAAGTAGGCCATTAGACAAGGATGTGTGATGTCACCGTGGTTGTTTAATATATTATAGATGGGGTTGTAAGAGAAGTAAATGCGAGGGTCTTGGCAAGAGGCGTGGAGTTAAAAGATAAAGAATCACACACAAAGTGGGAGTTGTCACAGCTGCTCTTTGCTGATGACACTGTGCTCTTGGGAGATTCTGAAGAGAAGTTGCAGGATTGGTGGAGGGAATTTGGTAGGGTGTGCAAAAGAAGAAAATTAAAGGTGAATACAGGAAAGAGTAAGGTTATGAGGATAACAAAAAGATTAGGTGATGAAAGATTGAATATCAGATTGGAGGGAGAGGAGTATGGAGGAGGTGAACGTATTCAGATATTTGGGAGTGGAACGTGTCAGCGGATGGGTCTATGAAAGATGAGGTGAATCATAGAATTGATTTAGGGAAAAAAGAGTGAGTGGTGCACTTAGGAGTCTGTGGAGACAAAGAACTTTGTCCTTGGAGGCAAAGAGGGGAATGTATGGAGTATAGTTTACCAACGCTCTTATATGGGTGTTGAAGCGTGGGTGATGAATGTTGCAGCGAGGAGAAGGCTGGAGGCAGTGGAGATGTCATGTCTGAGGGCAATGTGTGGTGTGAATATAATGCAGAGAATTCGTAGTTTGGAAGTTAGGAGGAGGTGCGGGATTACCAAAAACTGTTGTCCAGAGGGCTGAGGAAGGGTTGTTGAGGTGGTTCGGACATGTAGAGAGAATGGAGCGAAACAGAATGACTTCAAGAGTGTATCAGTCTGTAGTGGAAGGAAGGCGGGGTAGGGGTCGGCCTAGGAAGGGTTTGGAGGGAGGGGGTAAAGGAGGTTTTGTGTGCGAGGGGCTTGGACTTCCAGCAGGCATGCTTGAGCGTGTTTGATAGGAGTGAATGGAGACAAATGGTTTTTATACTTGACGTGTGTTGGAGTGTGAGCAAAGTAACATTTATGAAGGGATTCAGGGAAACCGGCAGGCCGGACTTGAGTCCTGGAGATGGGAAGTACAGTGCCTGCACTCTGAAGGAGGGGTGTTAATGTTGCAGTTTAAAAACTGTAGTGTAAAGCACCCTTCTGGCAAGACAGTGATGGAGTGAATGATGGTGAAAGTTTTTCTTTTTCGGGCCACCCTGCCTTGGTGGGAATCGGCCGGTGTGATAATAAAAAAAAAAAAAATAATCCCCTGTGTTAAGTGCTATACTTAGGGACTTACGGAGAGCTCTGAGGTAATAGGAACACACTGATAGTTCTTCCAACAAGAAATTGCAGTGACGACAGACATTACTGAACCATTACTGAGTGGACCTAGTAGTGATCAGTGAAGAGGCAGGGCCAGGAGCTATGAATTGACCCCTGCAACCACAATTAGGTGAGTACCAGTCACTCCATGTCACAACCTGTACAGTCATCACAAGGAACATGTATATAACCTGGATTATCTGTGTATATAACCTGGGTTAACAGTGTATATAACCTGGGTTAACAGTGTATATAACCTGGGTTATCAGTGTATATAACCTGGGTTATCAGTGTATATAACCTGGGTTATCAGTGTATATAACCTGGGTTATCAGTGTATATAACCTGGGTTATCAGTGTTATAACCTGGGTTATCATGATTTTAACCCTGGGTTATCATTTGTATATAGCCTGGGTTATCAGTGTATATAACCTGGGTTATCAGTGTATATAACCTGGGTTATCAGTGTATATAACCTGGGTTATCAGTGTATATAACCTGGGTTATAAGAACATAAGAACATAAGAACGAAGGAACACTGCAGTAGGCCTACTGGCCCATGTGAGGCAGGTCCAAGTCTCCTACCGGCTTAAGCCAATGCACCCAACCTAGTCAGGTCAGGTCACATTGACTTAAGGGAGGAACACGGCAACCGACCTGGTAGCACAAGCTATGAGGTCCAACTCACACCCACCCACATCCACTCATGTATTTATCCAACCTATTTTTAAAGCTACACAACGTTCTGGCCTCTATAACTGTACTCGGGAGTTTGTTCCACTCATCCACAACTCTATTACCAAACCAGTACTTTCCTATATCCTTCCTGAATCTGAATTTTTCCAACTTAAAACCATTGCTGCACGTCCTGTCTAGGCTAGATATTTTCAGCACACTATTTACATCCCCTTTATTTATTCCTGTCTTCCATTTATACACCTCAATCATATCCCCCCTAATTCTACGTCTTTCTAGAGAGTGCAGATTCAGGGCCCTTAGTCTATCCTCATAGGGAAGGTTTCTGATACATGGGATCAACTTTGTCATCCTCCTTTGTACATTTTCCAGAGAATTTATATCCATTCTGTAATACGGTGACCAAAACTGTGCAGCATAATCTAAATGAGGCCTAACCAAGGATGTATAGAGTTGAAGAACAACCTGAGGACTCCTATTATTTATGCTTCTTGATATGAAGCCAAGGATTCTATTAGCTTTATTGCGAACACTTATGCACTGTTGTCTTGGTTTCAGATTACTGCTAACCAGAACTCCTAAATCTTTTTCGCAATCCGTAATATTAAGATCTACATTATTTAGTTTATATGTGGCATAGTTATTGTCCTGTCCAACATTTAGAACTTTGCATTTGTCTATATTAAACTGCATCTGCCACTTCTCCGACCACTGCATCAGTCTATTCAAATCTTCCTGGAGTGCTCGACTGTCCTCGTCAGAATGAATTCGACGGCCTATTTTGGTGTCATCGGCAAACTTGCCGATGTCGCTCTTTATGCCCTCATCTATGTCGTTTATGTAGATTGTGAACAGCAGGGGGCCCAACACTGACCCCTGTGGAACACCGCTCGTGACACTTCCCCACTCTGATTTCTCCCCATTTATGCAAACTCTCTGCTGCCTATTTGTCAACCATGCCTCTATCCAGGAAAAAATTTCTCCTCCTATTCCATGTGCTTTAATTTTCCTCAGTAGTCTCTGATGTGGGACCCTGTCAAAAGCCTTACTGAAGTCCATATACACAATATCATATTCATTACCATGATCTACCTCCTCAAATACCTTAGTGAAAAAAGTTAATAAATTCGTAAGGCAGGAATGCCCCTTTGTAAAACCATGCTGAGATTCGTTGATTAATTTATGCTTTTCAAGGTGGCTACGAACTGCCTCGGCAATTATTGATTCCATAAATTTTCCCACTATGGAGGTTAGGCTTATTGGTCTATGGTTCGAAGCTAAGGACCTGTCACCTGTTTTGAAAATAGGTATCACATTTGCCATTTTCCACTTATCTGGCACCATGCCAGTTTGTAGTGATATGTTGAAAAGATTAGCCAAAGGTGTGCTAAGCTCCTCTTTACATTCCTTTAGAACCCTTGCATACAGTTCATCAGGGCCTGGGGATTTGTTAGGTTTTAATTTATCTATTTGCCTAAGGACCATGTCACTTGTGACCCTAATTGTGCACAGTTTATTATCGTCCTGTTCTACATAATTTATCATTACTGGAATATCGCTGGTATCCTCCTGTGTAAAAACTGATATAACCTGGGTTATCAGTGTATATAACCTGGGATATCAGTGTATATAACCTGGGTTATCAGTGTATATAACCTGGGTTATCTGTGTATATAACCTGAGTTATAAATATATATAACCTGGATTATCTACATATATAACCTGGGTTATTTGTATATTGTTCCAGTCACAGCATTGTGTCACTTCATTCTTTTTGAAGGATATACTAGAAACCAAATATATGGGTAACTAAATATATTCATGAAACTAATTAAAAACCTCCAGATCAATGAGTTATTTGCATAAAAGGTCATAAGACATGATGCTACTGAATTGCTAATCATCTAAAGTGAAGTCGAATGATTGGAATAATTCCCGGATTTTGTTACAAAGTCTTGTTTCCTCTTCCCTGGAAGACTTGCACTCCCTCCAGTCAACCCGCTCAGGTACGTTTAGTATTGACTCACTTGCTAGTACCTCCCTGAAATAGAAAGAAATTTTATAAGAAATACAAATTCAGGCAGGCCCTGCTTATACAGCAGGTTAGGTTCTAGACTACTTCTGTAAGGCAAAAATTGCTGTAAAGTGAAACATCAGGCCCTGCTTATACAGCAGGTTAGGTTCTACACTACTTCTGTAAGGCAAAAATTGCTGTAAAGTGAAACATCAGGCCCTGCTTATACAGCAGGTTAGGTTCTACACTACTTCTGTAAGGCAAAAATTGCTGTAAAGTGAAACATATGATGTCTTAGTCCCTCCTGGACCACTGTCAGATAATAAATAATAATACTAATCTTTTTTTTTTTTTTCAACAAACCGGCTGTATCCCACCAAGGCAGGGTGGCCCAAAAAGAAAAACAAAAGTTTGTCTTTTTAAATTTAGTAATTTATACAAGAGAAAGGGTTACTAGCCCCTTGCTCCCAATAATAATCTTTATTTCTACAAATACATGATACAACTTGTTAGGTAAGACACATGTGCAACAGTTAGGTATCTTTATTTCGAAACGTTTTGCCTACACAGCAGGCTGGATTTGAGAGGGACGTGACCTCCCAACGACATTCTTACCTCTACTAGTGGTGTACATCTCACCTCCTGGCACTATATAAGGCTCCTTCCTGTCACTTCAACTCCATATTGTTTCAGACTGTGGAACAATACTCTTCTCCAGACTGAGGGACTGACCACCTCAAAACTTCAAGGGTGATGGACTGATTACATTGTCTTCTGCTTCTATCAACTTTTCTGTACTCGACTGAAGAAGCCTACTGTGTAGGCAAAACGTTTCGAAATAAAGATACCTAACTGTTGCACATGTGTCTTACCTAACAACCTGTCAGCATTTTATACCATTTTAATATTCATGATACAACTTATACAGACCATAGCGCACCTCTGGCAAGACGGTGATGGAGTGAATGATGGTGAAAGTTTTTCTTTTTCGGGCCACCCTGCCTTGGTGGGAAACAGCCAATGTGTTAATAAAAAAAAATAAAATAAAATAATATTCCATGGGGAAGTAGAACAGAATTCTTCCTCAGTATGACATGCGAGTCATAAGCGGCAACTAAAATGCCGGGAGCAAGGGGCTAGTAATCTCTTCCTCTATAAACATTACTAAATTTAAAAAGAAAAACTTCCATTTTTCTTTTTAGGTTATCCTGCCTCGGTGGGATACGGCCGGTTCACTGAAAGAAATAATTACTATTATTATTATTATTATTATTATTATTATTATTATTATTAACCCTTTCAGGGTCCGTCCCGTAGATCTACGGCTTTACGTTCAGGGTCCAAACTGTAGATCTACGTCATGAGCTCAGCTCACTCTGATAAACTGTGAGTGGTACATTTGGGCCTAGATATGAGAGAATACATCTATGTGGTATGTGTGCACCACATAAAACAGATCCTGCAGCACACTGTGTATAATGAGAGAAAAAAAAACTGAAATCATGATTTTTCGATTAAAACAGCGACTTTGCAGTGTTTTTCGTATGCTTTTTATAGTTGTATTTGCGATTTCTTGGTCTCATTTGATAGAATGGAAGACATATTACAGAAATAGAGATGATTTTGATTGGTTTTAGCACTGGAAATGGCTTGAAACTGAGCTCAAAGTAGCAGAAATGTTAAATTTTTGCCGATATTCAAGAGTAAACAAACGACCTCACACGTCTAATACACGCCAGCTGGTGGGTCCAATATGCATTCACAAATATGGTGATGATATTTATACAATTATTACAGTATTGCATAACAGTAAATCTTCTATTTTTTGGTGTGAATAAAAATTCATTATGTGAATAAAAAATCAAAATGGAATTTATTTGTAAAGCCTCAAAACATAACTAATGAACAGAGGAAATGTTAGTTTAGTTCCAGGAATACCTACATTGTTTATTCTAGACCCTATTTTGAAATTGGAATATTTTGAACTTTGTGTTAAATTGGCCAAATTAACAATTTCCTATCACTTTAATTTGTAGTTGAAACAGTTGACTTGGTGATTTCTTGTGCTCAATTGATAGAATAGAAGTAATACTAGTGAAATAGCTAAGAATTTGGTTGACTGGAATAATGTAATTGGCCTAAAATGGGAGTCAAAGTCGGCAAAATCGCCGATTCGTAAATATCGCTGACACATCAAAATTCGCGAGAGCATAATTTCGTCAATTTTCCATCAAATTTCGTACTTGTTTTATTACCTTCACAAAAAGATTCTCTACCATTTCATAAGAAAAAATAACAAATTTTTTTTTTTAAATTCTTGGACACTGGGGCACCACTTCAGATTTGGGCCTTGGACCCTGAAGGGGTTAAGAAATCTTACCTTCCAAACTGAAGTGGAAAATGTTTCTTGATCCTATGGAAGAGCTTCTGACCAGTGGGAAGCTCAGCATAAAAGAATGGCACTCCTGAGGGTGCCACCTGTGCGATGTCAGACATCCTGGGGATCTCATCTACTGCAATGCCATTACTCTCAGCAGCATCCTGTGAAACAGCACCGTGGACAATGTTATTATTTGCTTCATTAAGTTATAATTATCGTGGGTTAAAATGTACCGTCTTGCATGGGAGGTGGGGGGGGGTACCTTGGTACTGGTGAAGGGCCCTTGATGCAAGGAATTGGAGCTAATCTTCTCTTCCTTGGATCAAGCCTGATTACCTCCAACTCTCAGATACTTATGACTACTATGGATTCAGTACTTCTCTATAATAATAATAATAATAATAATAATAATCCTACTACTACTACTACTAATAATAATAATATCAATAATAATAGCAACCAACAACAACATTAATAATAATAATAATTAAAAAAGACAGTGTGATGTTAGGTCTCAACAGAGATAATACTTGAACCATCAAACAGGGTTGGAACCATATCCAAACTGTCTCATGTTGAACCCTGATCTCAACTCTCTTTGGGTTGGAACCCCTGATCTCAAACTTGCTCTCAGGGTCGGAACCCCTGATCTCAAACTTGCTCTCAGGGTCGGAACCCCTGATCTCAAACTTGCTCTTTGGGTTGGAACCCCTGATCTCAAACTTGCTCTCAGGGTCGGAACCCCTGATCTCAAACTTGATCTCAGGGTCGGAACCCCTGATCTCAAACTTGCTCTTTGGGTTGGAACCCCTGATCTCAAACTTGCTCTCAGGGTCAGAACCCCTGATCTCAAACTTGCTCTCAGGTTCGAAGCCCTGATCTCAAACTTGCTCTCAGGATTGGAAGCTCTGATCTCAAACTTGCTCTCAGGATTGGAAGCTCTGATCTCAAACTTGCTCTCTGGGTTGGACAATGTTAAAAAAAAAAATTAATGAAATAATAGAATATTTTTTCAAAGGTAATGATACCAAAAGCACGAAATTTCATGAAAAACTTACGGAATTATGCTCTTGCAAATTTAGCGGTCTTGGCGATATTTACATATTGGCAATTTCATCCACTATGAGCCCCATTTTCTACCAATTCCATTGTTCCAGTCTACCAAACTCATAGCTATTGCCCATTTACCTAATTCAACTACCCAATAAAGTGATCAGAAGTTGGTAATTTGGAGAATTTCATGTAAAATGTAAAAATTTCCAATTTGAAAATAGGGTCCAGAAGAAACAATGTAGATATTCCTGGGACTGAAACAATATCTCCTCTGTTCCTCAGTCACTTCCTCAGGCCTGGAGTTTACCTGGAGAGGGTTTTGGGGATCAATGCCCCCACGGCCCGGTCTGTGACCAGGCCTCATGGTGGATCAGGGTGTGATCAACCAAGCTGTTATTGTTGGCCGCACGCAACCCGGCGTACGAACCACAGCCCAGCTGGTCAGGTACTGACTTTAGGCGCTTGTCCAGTGCCTTCTTGAAGACAGTCAGGGGTCTATTGGTAATCCCTCTTATGTATGCTGGGAGGCAGCTGAACAGTCTTGGTCCCCTGACACTTATTGTGTTGTTTCTTATCGTGCTAGTGACACCTCCTGCTCTTCATTGGGGGAATTTTGCATTGTCTGCCGAGTCTTTTGCTTTCATAGGAAGTGATTTTCGTGTACAAGTTTGGTACTAGTCCCTCTACGATTTTCCAAGTGTAAATAATCATGTACCTCTCCCACCTGCATTCTAGGGGAGTACAGTTTGAGGAACTTTATGGGTTCCCTGTAATTGAGGTGTTTTATCTCCATTATGCGTACTGTGAAGGTTCTCTGTACATTTTCTAGGTCAGCAATTTCACCTGCCTTGAAAGGTGGTGTTAGTGTGCAGCAATACTCCAGCCTAGATAGAACAAGTGACCTGAAGAGTGTCATCATGGGCTTGGCATCCCTAGCTTTGAAGGTTCTCATTATCCATCCTGTCATTTTTCTAGCAGATGTGATTGATACAATTTTGTGGTCTTCGAAGGTGAGATCCTCTGACATTATCACTGCCAGGTCTTTTACATTAGTTTTTCGCTCTATTGTGTGGTTGGAATTTGTTTTATACTCCGATATAGTTTTAATTTCCTCACTTTTCCATATTGGAGTAATTGAAATTTCTCATCACTGAACTTCATATTGTTTTCTGTGGCCCATTTAAAGATTTGGTTGATGTCCGCCTGGAGCCTTGCAGTGTCTGCAATGGAGGACAATGTCATGCAAATTCTGGTGTCATCTGCAAAGGAAGACACGGTACTGTGGCTGACATCCCTGTCTATGTCAGATATGAGGATGAAGAACAAGTTGGGAGCGAGTACTGTGCCTTGTGGAACAGAGCTTTTCACCGTAGCTGCCTCAGACTTTGCTGTTTACTACTACTCTTTGTGTTCTATTTGTTAGGAAGTTATAGATCCATCTACCAACTTTTCCTGTTATTCCTTTATCATGTATTTTGTGCACTATTACACCATGGTCACACTTGTCAAAAGGCTTTTGCAAAGTCTGTGTATACTACATCTGCATTTTGTTTGTCTTCTAAAACAACCAGGACCTTGTCATAATGGTCCAGTAGTCGGAACAGGCAGGAGAAACCTGTTCTAAACCCAGGCTGTATCTAGATGGGTAGCAATCTTGCTTCTTAGAACCCTTTCAAAGATTTTCATGATACGAAATGTTAGCGCTTTCCATTTTGAATTTTTATTCGCATAAAAAATAGAAGATGTACTATTATGCTGACTACTGCATTATTGTAACAATTGTAAATAATGTTGGCACATTTGTGGACATGTATTAGAATGACCAGTTGGACCCATATTGGATGAGTGATATAATTTGTGTACTTTGGAATGTTTGGCAAAAATCGAACATTTTCACTACTTTGAGCTTATTTTCCAACTACTTTTAGTTCTGAAACCAATCAAAATTATGTCTACTAATTTCTGTAGTATATCTTCCATTCTATAATTGAAACAGAAACAGAAACAACAATAAAAACCACATGAATAACACACTGCAAAGTCGCTGTTTTAAACCAAAAACAAGGTTGAAGTTTTTTCCCATTATGCACTGTGTGCGGCAGGATTTTTTTTATATGTTGCACACTTACTGCACAGACCCATTCTCTCATATCTCGGCCCAAATTTACTGCTCTCATTTTATCTGAGCGAGCTAGAGCTTGTGTAGAACAACAGGACCGACCCATGAACAACAGGACCACCCTGAAAGGATTAAGGTAAATTACACATATGTATAAACCAATTGATAACATGGACCCCCGCTATAACGATACATCCGATCGACCAATTATGTATGTGTATTTGTAAGTGGTTTGTAGTGTATGTTTGGGGGTTCTGAAAGGACCTATCCTACTTCACAATATTCCTTTATGGAACAAATTCGGTCAGTATGGTACTGAACATACTTCGGAGTGAAAAATATTGTCAACCGGGGGTTCATGTATAAGCTTTATTAAACACTTGCTGTGTCTCATCGAGGCAGGGTGACCCGAAAAAGATGAAACACTTTCATCATCCTAAGATTAGTTTGCCCAAAATGCCCTGACATGATAGTGGCTTACTTTGCACTCAACAAATCAAAATTGTAATTACACATTGTAACCTCTGCAAAGGAATACGCAATCTTTAATCTTTAAACTTTGGTAATCTTCACTCCATCACTGTCTTGCCAGAGGTGCGCTTACACTACAGTTAAAAACCTGCAACATCAACACCCTCAGAGTGCACGCACTGTACTTTCCACTTCAGGACTCAAGTCTGGCTTGCCAGTTTACCTGAATCCCTTCATAACTGGTACCTTTCTCTCACTCCAACAGGATGTCAAGTCATAAAAAACTACATCTCCACTCGCTCCTATTTAACCCCTAAATGGTCCCAACGTATATATACGTTCTCTCGCGTAATGCCTCAACGTATACATATGTTTTTTTTGTCATTCATTCAATATTGCCACGATAAGCCTGAGTCGCCTAGACATGAGAGAATGGGTGTGCGCACTCACTGTGTGCCATATTAAAATAATTGGGGACGCCTGGGTACCATATGCTCTTTTTTCCTATTAAAAAAAAAAACTATTTTTTTCTCAAAAAATTGGGGCACTACGCGAGTGAACGTATATATACGTTTGGACCATTTAAGGGTTAATACGCTCACACAAGCTTGCTGAAAGTCCAAGCCCCTCACACACAAAACCTCCTTTACTCCCTCCCTTCAAAACTACCATTAAAAAACACCTCTCCGTAATGTATCCCAACATCAGCTAAATGTGAGAAAATTATACAGTGGTACCTCAAGTTTCAAACAGCTCCCAACTTGAACATTATGTAAGTGTATTTTTGTAAGTGCTTTTGAAAGTGTATTTTTGGGGGTCTGAAATGGACTAATCTAATTTACATTATTCCATATGGGAACAAATTTGTTCGGTATCAGCACTCGAATAGCCTTCTGGAACGAATTAACTTCGTAACTCAAGGTACCACTGTATATCCATATTCACATTGTCACAAACATATGGAAAACAATATACACCTACCATCCAACTTACGACCGAGTTCGGTTCCGAGAAACCGGTCGTAAGTCGAAATGGTCGTAAGTCGAACTTTACTACTGAATATCAACAAAACATTTTTGTAATGACTTTATTTTATTGTTTTATTTTGGTATTTCATGTTTTACTTTACTTTTTATGTTGTTAGTACTGTATTTTATACTGTAAGGTTTAGGATAAACACTGTGTAAACACAAATAGTTGTTTATTTCCCAGAAATTTGGCATAAAAAACACGGTCGTAAGTTGAGTGGTCGTAAGTCGAGCAGGTCATAAGTCGGATGGTAGGTGTATTCTTATTCTCAATATATATAATCCTCACAACCATTAAAACATTGAATGTGTCCACATTATGTTAATATGATAGAATTCTCATTACCTACGTTCATAATCAAACCTCTTTCTTTCTTTCTTTCAACAAACCGGCCATATCCCACCGAGGCGGGGTGGCCCAAAAAGAAAAACAAAAATTTCTCTTTTCAACTTTAGTAATATATACAAATAAGGGGTTACTAGCCCCTTGCTCCTGGCATTTTAGTTGCCTCTTACGACATGCATGGCTTACAGAGGAAGAATTCTGTTCCACTTCCCCATGGAAAATAATCAAACCTATAATTCTTAAAACAAAAACTTGATGAAAGCCATATAGCATGTATTAAAAGAATATTCTATTCTCTTGTATTCACTGTAGCGCCTAATATTATATTTACAACTGCCTAAGAGACTGTATATATAACCAATCAATTAATCCTTGCCTTATTAATCTTAAGTTAGTCTTAAGTTTGCCTGAAATACTCTGCATATTAAGGGGCTTTCTGCATGCACACCTAAATCTCATTCACCTTTTTACAAACACTGTATCATACTGAAATAAAGAATCTCTAATCTTTAAAATAAAGCAGACAGGCTTTATTGGGTAATCCTGGATTACTAAGTTTATGGATAAATTGTGAATTAAAATTTGTGTACTATATAAACAAATAAACTAAGAAATTCTTGGACATCGGGAACAAGGAATTTCTTAACCAAAATGTTTAGGAATCAGCTAGAATGAAATACAACACACTCAAGAACTATAAAAATAAAAATTAAAAATAAACAAAGATAAATTTTGTTGAGAATAAGAAAGAAGTTTTGGAGACTAATAAGTTGAGAAAGTACAAGAAACAAATGAATTTAACAATTAAAAACAGAAGAGGGGAATTATTAGATGAGGAGGTGGAAGTACAGTGGACCCCCGCCTTACGAACGCATCGCGCTACGTTAAATCTGCCAAACGAAGCATTTGAACGCAAAAATTTTGTCTCGCCTCACGATAAAAAACTCACCTTACGTGATTCGTCCGGGATGCATCCCACATGTGGCCTCAGCTGCCCGTGGGTGCCAGTGTTTACAAGCCAGCCAGTGCGGTCGCATCTAAGCATACATTCGGTACATTTCACCTTATCCCAGTGTTTTTTGTGCTTGTAACTGCAAAATAAGCCACCATGGGCCCCAAGAAAGCTTCTAGTGCCAACCCTGTGGTAAAAAGGGTGAGAATTAGTATGGAAATTAAGGAAGATTTTGAAGGGTTTGGGGCTAACCCTGAGAAGCCTATGCCAGTTGTGGAATCCATTGTGCCTACTTCAAAGATTAAGGAAATGTGTGCAAAGTGGGTTGAATTGCAAACCTTTATGGATGAAAATCACCCTAACACAGCTAATGAAAGTTGTGCTGGTGACTATTAAAATGACAATGTTGTGGCCCATTTTAGGCAAATCTTAAAGAAACGGGAGGTACAGACCTCTATGGACAGATTTGTTGTGTGACAGAGGTCCAGTGACTCAAGCTGGTCCTAGTGGCATTAAAAGAAGAAGGAAAGTAACCCCAGAAAGGACTTGCTACCTCAAGTCCTAATGGAAGAGGATTCCCCATCTAAACAATAACTTCCACACTCTCCCCTCCTCCCATCCCATCAATCATCACCAGATTTTCAATAAAGGTAAGTGTCATGTATTCTATTCTTAGCAGAGTAGTAATTGTGCATGTCTTCTTTAGTTTGCGTGTATTAAAATTAATATTTCATGTGGTAAAAAAATTTTTTTTTTTCATACTTTTGGGTGTCTTGCACGGATTAATTTGATTTCCATTATTTCTTATGGAGAAAATTAATTCGGATAACGATAATTTTGGCTTACGATGAGCTCTCAGGAAATGATTAATATCGTAAGGCAGGGGTCCACTGTATTGGGAAGATAGGGAAAATATTTCGAGGAGCTGGTAAATGTTGATGAAGATTGGGAAGCTGTGATTTCGTGCATTGGCCAGGGAGGTATAACATCTTTTAGGAGTGAGGAAAAGCCAGATGTGAGTGTGGAAGAGGTGCCTGCACTCTGAAGGATGGGTAAGGATGTTACAGTCCATGAGGTGGAAAGTAGAGTGCATGCACACTGAAGGATGGATGAGGATGTTACAGTCCTGGAGGTGAGAAGTACAGTGCCTGCTCTGAAGGATGGGTGTGTGTGTTACAGTCCTGGAGGTGAGAAGTACAGTGTCTGAATTTTGACAAATGGCTAAGGATGTTACAATTCAGAGGGGCATCTGAATTATGCCAGCATGATTCTGACAAGACAATGATTGAACAAATGATGGTGAATGTGTTTTGTCTTCTTTGAGGGGCAACCCACAGATGGTGTGTTAAAAGAAATAAGTCCACTACATATACAAGACTACATGTGCAAACCATGAATGCATCTTGGAGGTGTGGGGCAGCATCGGAAGGTACTGGCACAACTTGTACTTGTAAATGCTGAGAGTGATAGTTCCTCTCAAAGAAAACAACATCCTGGCCATTCTTTCTGAACATTTTTCTCAGAGCTTTCTTGAACTTCTCTATTTCTGTTAAGAAACAAAAATTAATAATTAATAACAAAACAGCAATATACGAGATGAACTAATAATACTCTTCACACTGTATTTAAAATGTGTCACTATACTACAGCCTCTCCTCACTTAACAACGGAGATCCGTTCCTAAGACCAAGTCGGTAAACGAATTTGCCGCTAACTATAATGGTAGTGGGGTTGTGTCAACCATCTTCAATATTGTTTTAATGTCACCTTTGCACCACTTATAACATTTTTAGTATATTTTTAAATGTTTATACAGTAGTGTACTGTATACAGTAATAAACAGTATAGAGGAAATCAGCTCTAATATACATTATTTAGGTATGCATACTGGTCAGAGAACCCGTTTTAAGTCCGAGTCATCAGTAAACAAGTATGTTGCTAAGTGAGGAGAGACTGTATAATATTTAAAATGTATCACTATACAGTAGACCCCCGGTTAACGAACTTTTTTCATTCCAGTAGTATGTTCAGGTGCCACCACTGACCGAATTTTTTCCCATAAGGAATATTGTGAAGTAGATTAGTCCATTTCAGACCCCCAAACATACACGTACAAACGCACTTACATAAATACACTTACATAATTGGTCGCATTTGGAGGTGATCGTTAAGCGGGGGTCCACTGTACTATAATATTTAAAATATATCACTATACTCCTAGGTAGTAGGTTGGTAGACAGCAACCGCCCAGGGAAGTACTACCGTCCTGCCAAGCGAGTGTAAAACGAAAGCCTGTAATTGTTTTACATGATGGTAGGATTGCTGGTGTCCTTTTTTTCTGTCTCATAAACATGCACGATTTCAGGTACGTCTTGCTACTTCTACTTACACTTAGGTCACACTACACATACATGTACAAGCATATATATGCACACCCCTCTCGGTTTTCTGCTATTTTCTTTCTAGTTCTTATTCTTGTTTATTTCCTCTTATCTCCATGGGGAAGTGGAACAGAATTCTTCCTCCGTAAGCCATGCGTGTTGCAAGAGGCGACTAAAATGCCGGGAGCAAGGGGCTAGTAACTTCTTATCCTGTATATATTACTAAATTTGAAAGGAGAAACTTTCGTTTTTCCTTTTGGGCCACCCCGCCTCGGTGGGATATGGCCGGTGTGTTGAAAGAAAGAAAGAAGAAAAGAGAAACTTTTGTTTTTCTTTTTGGGCCACCCTGCCTTGGTGGGATACGGCCGGTTTGTTGAAAGAAGAAGATATCACTATACTATAATATTTAAAATGTATCGCTATACTATAATTCAGCATATGTAAAAGCAAACGACACCAATTTATTATTTAAAAAAAGTAATACTGCACATGTTGAATGGTATAGGAAGACTTGCCTTGTGTGGAGTCATCATCAAGGTCTGCTGTACTCTGGAAGTGAGTGATGGGAAGAATGAGTAAGTGGTGAGATACTAGACCGCCTTTAGCCAGTGCCAGGTATACATGGTCACCAACACTCACCACTAAGTGCTTCTCTACCTCTGGACTAGCCAGACAGAACCAACATGGACCTGCAAGAAGAAATGCTTTCAATAAAACTAATTTTTTTCCTTAACACATGGGCTGCTTCCCATCACTTACACAATCACTGTCTTGCAGAAGCAAAATTTTTTTTATAAAGAATAAAAAGGCACAATACCATGGCTGGAACAATACACAAATAACCCACACACAGGAGGAAGAAACTCTTGACAACGTTTCTTTCCGACTTGGATCATCGCCTAGTTAACCCTTTCAGGGTCGACAGGTCCTCTCAGACTTGTTCTCAGGGTCGCCCAAATTTAAAAAAAAAAAAAAAATATTTTTTCTTATGAAAAGATAGAGAATCTTTTCCCGATCATAATGACACCAAAAGTATAAAATTTGATGGAAAACTTACGGAATTACGCTCTCGTGAAGTTAGCGGTCTTGACGATGTTTACGCATCGGCGATTTTGCCCACTTTGAGCCCTATTTTCAGCCAATTCCACTGTACTAGTCTACAAAAATCATGAATATTTCGCTAGAACTCCATTTTTTCTATCAAATGAGTGCAAGAAACTACCCATTCACCGATTTCAACTATCCAATACAGTGGTCAGAATTTAGCAATTTTGCCAATTTCACACAAATTTCAAAAGATGCCGATTTCCAAATAGAGTACAGAATAAACAAGAAAGACATTCCTGGCACTAAAATGACATTTCCTCTGTTCATTAGTTATGTCCCAACGCCCCTCTTACATTCTTTTGCTTTCCACTTTGAATTTTTATTCTCACAAAAAATACAAGATTTACTGTTATGCAGACTACTGCATTAGTGTAAAAAATGGTATAAATAATATCGGCGCACTTGTGAAAGAATATCAGACTCACCAGTTGACGTGTATTGGACGCTTAGCATGAATTTTTTACTTTTGAACTTTGGTAAAAATCAACATTTCTGCTATATTGAGCTCAATTTCAAGGTACTTTTCATTGTAAAATCAGTCAAAATCATCTCAATTTCTGTAATATGTCTTCCATTCTATACAATGAGACCAGGAAAACTAGAATACAACAATAAATACCATACGAAAATACAGTGCAAAGTCGCTGTTGTGATCCAAAAACACGGTCAAAGTTTTTTTCTCATTACGCACTGTATGCTGCAGGATTTTTTTTTATACTGCACACACTGACCACATAGACCCATTCGTTCATATGTAGGCCTACCAGCTTTCTCTCAGTAGATTTGAGGGCGCTAGAATTTAGGCGTACTAGTACATCAAAAACCCTGGTGTGTAAGCCATCCTAGTACTGCCGAAACCCTGAAAAGGTTAATGGTCTAATTTGGACCAAAATATCATCCTCAGTTTCAGTCTCTTAAGTGCGGGTTATTTGTGTATATATTTGTTCAGGATATTGACACACTGCTAAGATACACAAATGCATGACCATGTGGCAATGTATTTGTCTCTACAAAAGTTTTGATTAGAAAAATGCATAAATGTCAGAGGCTTTGAAGGGGTCCACCTCAAACACATCATGTTTAGTTCATACCAATACATTTCTGACTCCTGCATGGACCATTTCCTGACTTACTCTCAGTATAGCCTCTGTTTATCACTGCTGGCCAAGGTAGTTTACTGGTTATGACCAACATCAGCTGAGAGTACAGCAAAACTTCACAACACACATTATTACACTCAAGGAGAATGGATGGTAAAAAAGTTTATTCAAGGCAGGTGACGATACCTGGAGGGTGTTTCAAGGGTGAACACCCTCATGGCCTAATCCTTGACCAGGCCTCCTGGTGTATCAGGGCCTTTTCAACCAGGTTGTTACTGCTGGTTGCACGTAGTCCAATGTACGAACTACAGCCTGGCTGATCAGGTACTGACTAAGTATCTGCCCAGTTCCCTCTTGATAACATCCAGGGGTCTATTGGTAATTCACCTCATGCTTGATGGAAGGCTGTTGAACAGTCTTGGGCCCCTGACACTTGAATAAGCCCTATATCAACATCATGCCCTCCCTCTTCTCCATGAATAGACTTGGCACCTAAATGGGGGAGGTGGAGGAATCCATGGACCCCACCCTGCCAGGCCTTAGGTAGAAATTCTTTTCTCTAATTAAAATGTAGCCTTCTGCTTTTGAGAGATCCATGTAAGTCACCTGGAATCATACCAGAAATACACAGGTATAAAGGCAGCCATAGAACTGTTGTAGAATTGCAGAGAGGCTAGTCATGCAGACCATAACACAAACACAGAGGTATGAGGTTTGATAGGATTAGTAACATGTAGGATGGTGATTTGACAGAATCAGTGACATGGAGGTAAGAGGTCTGACAGGATCAATGATATGTAGGAGAGAGATTTGACAGGATCAGTGACATGAAGGAGAGAGAGATTTGACAGGATCAGTGACATGAAGGAGAGAGATTTGACAGGATCAGTGACATGCATGAGGTGAGGTGGAAGATGGAGCAGAGTTATCACAAATAGGCAAGTGAGACTTAAAACTCAAAGGCCTGAGAGTTTCAGGACTCGCCTGCCATGGGTTCAAACCCCACCTGTTTCCTGATTCACTAACCAGTAGGTTTAGGAGGCACCCATTTTTTTGGTCCACCATCATCACTGTCTCCTCTTCTCTTCTTTGCCTTCTTATCCTCGTATGGCTTGGCATCCATGTCATAGAAGAACTGCGCTCCACTAATTTGTGCTGGTGTCTGCAAGGCACAAAATGGTAATATTGTATATACATAGAAGAATTAGCAATCTATTTTCCATGTACAGGAGGGAGCCGCTTTACAGCACTTCACTTTGTGGCGTTCCACTAATACAGTGGATTTCAATTATACCTATTCTTCATTTATTCAGACTTCCTACAATAAATATATTCACTCCTCACTATAAGCTAAGTACAAAAATATTTCAAGGTGAGTAATGTGTTTACTGCATATGCATTTTTTAGGCCTAACTCTATTGCTCACTTCATATACAATAATATAAACAAGTTATCAGGTTTTCAAATGCATTTGAAAGGGAAAGCAGACTGTTTCACTTTACAGCGATTTTTACTTTACAGCAGTAGCCTGGAACCTAACCTGCTGTAGAAGTGAGGCTCTCCTCTGTTATTAATATTTTCATGGGAAAGAGATAAACCTGTCGAGATCATACAGTGTACGTATTAGGACTGGGGGGTAATTAAGTTCGATCTAAGGAAGGGAAGGGTAGCTCCACTTGCTTGGATCAGAATATCTTCATAAGTATCAAGTCACCCCCTTTACACAGAGCAAGTAATAATTATGAGTTATAGTGTCCAGTGATGGCTCAGGATCATCACCCTCAAGGACGTGTCTCAGACCACACCTTCCTAAGGCCAGAAGTGATCATTATACTGAAGGGTGGCATGCAGGTCATGGAGATGTTGCGTGTTTTGCTAGAAATGATCAATATGCTGAAGGGTGGTGTAAGGAGAATGTGTACGTGTTTTGCTGGAAGTGATCAATACAGGAAGACCCCATTTGTATTACTCTTTCATTCCTGTTTCCATACGGCAAGCGAACATAGCTGGCAAGTAGAAAAGAGTGTTTTTTTCATTACTGAATACATCATTTATAAAACATCTGACATGTTTACACTATCATATATTAAATGCTCAATACAGCTCAATAAAAACAGATAAAAAAGGGAAATAAACACACAGTACATACAATATTTATCTTAAAATATGGTGCCAGTCATCATTCCTTTACACAATTCTACAAAAATGGTAAAAAAAGCAATAAAGCGGTAAAAGCAGCGAGCATAATGAGAAATGGCTCAACTGAAAGCCAATGAAAAGGTGGAACACCAAAAAGAGGGTTACACAAATAACCTGCACATAAAAGAGAGAAGCTTACGACGACGTTTCGGTCGGTTATTTGTGTATCGTTCCAGTCACGGTATTGTGCCTTTTTTTGTTACCAAAAAGAGGGTACTGTACATGTGGGACCCTCCTGTATATAGAAAGCCGCTTGTTATGCAGAGCATTTTGGGCAAATTAGGTGAATTTTTTCCCAGGATGCGACCCACACCAGTCGACTAACACCCAGGTACCCATTTTACTGATGGGTGAACATGGACAACAGATGTAAGGAAATGTGCCCAATGTTTCCGCCCTTGCCAGGAATCGAACCTTGACCCTCAGTGTGTGAAGTGAGAGCTTTGCCTACCAGGCCACGAGCCACCCTGGTAAATATTGTATGTACTGTACATTTAATTTACTTTTTCATCTTTTTTTACATCTAGCTGTATTGAGCACCTAATATATGATAGTATAAACACATTATTGGGCATTTTAGAGATACAGTGAACCCCCGGTTTACGATATTATTTCATTCCAGAAGTATGTTCAGGTGCCATTACTGAACGAATTTGTTCCCATAAGGAATATTGTGAATTAGATTAGTCCATTTCAGACCCCCAAACATACACGTACAAACGCACTTACATAAATACACTTACATAATTGGTCCCATTGGGAGCTGATCGTAAACCGGGGGTCCACTGTAAGATATAAACAGCTATTGGAGGATAGATGGGCTAATGAGAGCATAGGCAATGGGGTCGAAGAGGAATGGGGTAGGTTTAAAAATGTAGTGTTAGAGTGTTCAGCAGAAGTTTGTGGTTACAGGAAAGTGGGTGCAGGAGGGAAGAGGAGCGATTGGTGGAATGATGATGTAAAGAGAGTAGTAAGGGAGAAAAAGTTAGCATATGAGAAGTTTTTACAAAGTAGAAGTGATGCAAGGAGGGAAGAGTATATGGAGAAAAAGAGAGAGGTTAAGAGAGTGGTGAAGCAATGTAAAAAGAGAGCAAATGAGAGAGTGGGTGAGCTGTTATCAACAAATTTTGTTGAAAATAAGAAAAAGTTTTGGAGTGAGATTAACAAGTTAAGGAAGCCTAGAGAACAAATGGATCTGTCAGTTAAAAAAAAGGAGAGGAGAGTTATTAAATGGAGAGTTAGAGGTATTGGGAAGATGGAGGGAATATTTTGAGGAATTGTTAAATGTTGATGAAGATAGGGAAGCTGTGATTTCGTGTATAGGGCAAGGAGGAATAACATCTTGTAGGAGTGAGGAAGAGCCAGTTGTGAGTGTGGGGGAAGTTCGTGAGGCAGTAGGTAAAATGAAAGGGGGTAAGGCAGCCGGGATTGATGGGATAAAGATAGAAATGTTAAAAGCAGGTGGGGATATAGTTTTGGAGTGGTTGGTGCAATTATTTAATAAATGTATGGAAGAGGGTAAGGTACCTAGGGATTGGCAGAGAGCATGCATAGTTCCTTTGTATAAAGGCAAAGGGGATAAAAGAGAGTGCAAAAATTATAGGGGGATAAGTCTGTTGAGTGTACCTGGTTAAGTGTATGGTAGAGTTATAATTGAAAGAATTAAGAGTAAGACGGAGAATAGGATAGCAGATGAACAAGGAGGCTTTAGGAAAGGTAGGGGGTGTGTGGACCAGGTGTTTACAGTGAAACATATAAGTGAACAGTATTTAGATAAGGCTAAAGAGGTCTTTGTGGCATTTATGGATTTGGAAAAGGCGTATGACAGGGTGGATAGGGGGGCAATGTGGCAGATGTTGCAAGTGTATGGTGTAGGAGGTAGGTTACTGAAAGCAGTGAAGAGTTTTTACGAGGATAGTGAGGCTCAAGTTAGAGTATGTAGAAAAGAGGGAAATTTTTTCCCAGTAAAAGTAGGCCTTAGACAAGGATGTGTGATGTCACCGTGGTTGTTTAATATATTTATAGATGGGGTTGTAAGAGAAGTAAATGCGAGGGTCTTGGCAAGAGGCTGGAGTTAAAAGATAAAGAATCACACACAGGGTGGGAGTTGTCACAGCTGCTCTTTGCTGATGACACTGTGCTCTTGGGAGATTCTGAAGAGAAGCTGCAGAGATTGGTGGATGAATTTGGTAGGGTGTGCAAAAGAAGAAAATTAAAGGTGAATACAGGAAAGAGTAAGGTTATGAGGATAACAAAAAGATTAGGTGATGAAAGATTGAATATCAGATTGGAGGGAGAGAGTATGGAGGAGGTGAACGTATTCAGATATTTGGGAGTGGACGTGTCAGCGGATGGGTCTATGAAAGATGAGGTGAATCATAGAATTGATGAGGGAAAAAGAGTGAGTGGTGCACTTAGGAGTCTGTGGAGACAGAGAACTTTGTCCTTGGAGGCAAAGAGGGGAATGTATGAGAGTATAGTTTTACCAACGCTCTTATATGGGTGTGAAGCATGGGTGATGAATGTTGCAGCGAGGAGAAGGCTGGAGGCAGTGGAGATGTCATGTCTGAGGGCAATGTGTGGTGTGAATATAATGCAGAGAATTCGTAGTTTGGAAGTTAGGAGGAGGTGCGGGATTACCAAAACTGTTGTCCAGAGGGCTGAGGAAGGGTTGTTGAGGTGGTTCGGACATGTAGAGAGAATGGAGCGAAACAGAATAACTTCAAGAGTGTATCAGTCTGTAGTGGAAGGAAGGCGGGGTAGGGGTCGGCCTAGGAAGGGTTGGAGGGAGGGGGTAAAGAAGGTTTTGTGTGCGAGGGGCTTGGACTTCCAGCAGGCATGCGTGAGCGTGTTTGATAGGAGTGAATGGAGACAAATGGTTTTTAATACTTGACGTGCTGTTGGAGTGTGAGCAAAGTAACACTTTTATGAAGGGATTCAGGGAAACCGGCAGGCCGGACTTGAGTCCTGGAGATGGGAAGTACAGTGCCTGCACTCTGAAGGAGGGGTGTTAATGTTGCAGTTTAAAAACTGTAGTGTAAAGCACCCTTCTGGCAAGACAGTGATGGAGTGAATGATGGTGAAAGTTTTTCTTTTTCGGGCCACCCTGCCTTGGTGGGAATTGGCCAGTGTGATAATAAAAAATAATAATAAAAAAAAAAGAAAACACTTTTCCATCCACTGGTGATTTTTGCTCATTGCCTGGGGCCGGGAAGCTAAGAATTGCACAAAAGGGGCCCTTTAGCATCTTTATCTACACATATTAGGCATAAATAGGCAAAAATGCATTAGTGTTGTATCAGAGTAATATGCATAAAGTTATCTGATAGTTGTAAAGTATTACTGTATAAAAAACATCTGTTAACAATAAGGATAAATGTGAAGTTAATGTATTTTTCTGGTAAGGCAGCTATTGACTGACTCACGATGAAAATGCTCCCCTCTTTGGAAAACAGCCGTGGAAAAAAAATTAATAATCGACTTTTGAAAGCTAGTGAATACGATACCTGTTTTGTCTGTACAATAACATCTGCTAATACTAAGAATAAGTATGAAGTTCATGTATTTACCTGGCAAGGCAGCTATTGACTGAAAGTTATGAAAGTTAGCACATAGGGGTACCTGTCTTGGTTGTTGAGGAACATTAGTATCAGAGTAAGGACACTCAGTGACATCTGGTGGCTGTCTGGTGAGCTCAGCTGCATCGCAGTGAATCAACGGAGTGATGTTAAAGGCATAGAGCCACTTGTGTTTCTCTGGGTTTCCAACTTTCGCTAATCCTATGAAGCGAGAAATATGGCGGGATTTTTCTTTCAACACCTTGTGGTTTCTGCCAAGAAATTTTATTACTATATTAGTTAAATCATTAAAATAGTAATGAATTAAATATTACTACAGTACAGAATTAACTCAATAACAAAGCAATAAGTTAATGTATTGCATACTCATGGCTTTATTTTTTTAAATCCAAACTACATTACCTTTGTATAACATAAAAGAATTGAAGTTCTCAATTTGAACCTGTATTGTTTAAGTGTGAAACTTGAGTTAGTATTATATTGTAAATATTGGCAGGGAGGCAAGAGTGGATATTTGGAGTTATGAATGTATTCAAAAGTTAACCCTTAAATGGTCCAAATGTATATATACGTTTTTTCAACATCTGAAAGTATGTAAAAAAATGTAGATCTTCTTTTTTGTTTTACATTTGAAAACATGTAAAAAAAACTTTTACCTACTTTTTTTTTTGTTATATTTGAAAATATGTAAAAAAAAAAGTACAGTGGACCCCCGCATAACGATTACCTCCGAATGCGACCAATTATGTAAGTGTATTTATGTAAGTGCGTTTGTACGTGTATGTTTGGGGGTCTGAAATGGACTAATCTACTTCACAATATTCTTTATGGGAACAAATTCGGTCAGTACTGGCACCTGAACATACTTCTGGAGTGAAAAAATATCGTTAACCGGGGGTCCACTGTATATCTACTTTTGTAGCACTACGAACTTGAACGTCGATCTCTTTGGACCGTTTAAGGGTTAAAAGGCCTCATTGTACTTTTCAGAAGAAAATGGGAGTACAGTATTAAATCTGAAAAAAATATTATGATTGACAATTACATTAAGTACTGGATTTAGCCCTTGTATTTTCAAGTGATAATTATTTATTTTTTTATTAACACAACAGCAGTTTCCCACCAAGGCAGGGTGACCTGAAAAAGAAGAAACACTTTCCTCATCATCATCAGAGACATGGCTACACTACAGTAAAAAAAACTGCAACATTAACACCCCTCCTTCAGAGTGCAGGCAAGATGCAAGTCTCGCTAACTAGTTTCCCCTGAAACCCTTCATAAATGTTACTTTGCTCACACTCCAACAGCACATCAGGTCATAAAAAACATTCATCTCCACTCGCTCCTATCTAACATGCTCACGCTGACCCCAACCCTGCCTTCCTTCCACTGCAGATTTATACACTCTCCAAGTCATTCTATTTTGTTCCATTCTCTCTAAATGTCCACACCACCTCAACAACCCTTCCTCTGCCTTCTGGATAATACTTTTAGAAACTCCAAACCTCCTCATCTTCAAGTTACAGATTTTCTGCATTATATTCACACCACACACAGCCCTCAGACATGGCAACACAGGCTCCAGCCTTTTCCTCACTACAACATTGACAACCCATGCTTCACACCCATATAAAAGCATGACACCACCATACTCTGGTACACTCTCAATTTTGCCTCTATGGATAATGTTCTTTGTCTCCACAAATGCCTCAATGCACCACTCACCTTTTTCCCCTCATCAATTCTGTGGTTCACCTCGTCTTTCATAGACCCATCTACTGACAAGTCCACTCCCAAATATCTGAATATTTTCACTTCCTCCATACTCCTTCCCTCCAATTTAATTTTTTTGTTATCCTCATCACCTTGCTCTTTCCTATGTACACTATTAATTTCCTTCTTTTCACATATCCTTCCAAACTCGTTCACCAACCTTTGCAACTTGGAGTTATGTCTGCACTCTAAGGACTCTGGTATTCTCCACTGAATACTGAGAGCTCGTGCTAGCAGTACTTAGCATTTCTTTATAAATAAAGCATTTCATGAAAGTAGTCCAGGTGCTGAGTGAATGGGCATAATTTCAATTTCTTTTTCAAAATTTATGTGTGTTTACAGTCGCACTAACAATGTTAGTGCGACTGTAAACATTGTTAGTGTTGTTTACAGTCACACAAACATTGTTTACCATCGCACCAACACGTTCACTTTAATCTAAATTTTTTTTTTTTTTATTATCACACTGGCCGATTCCCACCAAGGCAGGGTGGCCCGAAAAAGAAAAACTTTCACCATCATTCACTCCATCACTGTCTTGCCAGAAGGGTGCTTTACACTACAGTTTTTAAACTGCAACATTAACACCCCTCCTTCAGAGTGCAGGCACTGTACTTCCCATCTCCAGGACTCAAGTCCGGCCTGCCGGTTTCCCTGAATCCCTTCATAAATGTTACTTTGCTCACACTCCAACAGCACGTCAAGTATTAAAAACCATTTGTCTCCATTCACTCCTATCAAACACGCTCACGCATGCCTGCTGGAAGTCCAAGCCCCTCGCACACAAAACCTCCTTTACCCCCTCCCTCCAACCCTTCCTAGGCCGACCCCTACCCCGCCTCCCTTCCACTACAGACTGATACACTCTTGAAGTTATTCTGTTTCGCTCCATTCTCTCTACATGTCCGAACCACCTCAACAACCCTTCCTCAGCCCTCTGGACAACAGTTTTGGTAATCCCGCACCTCCTCCTAACTTCCAAACTACGAATTCTCTGCATTATATTCACACCACACATTGCCCTCAGACATGACATCTCCACTGCCTCCAGCCTTCTCCTCGCTGCAACATTCATCACCCATGCTTCACACCCATATAAGAGCGTTGGTAAAACTATACTCTCATACATTCCCCTCTTTGCCTCCAAGGACAAAGTTCTTTGTCTCCACAGACTCCTAAGTGCACCACTCACTCTTTTTCCCTCATCAATTCTGTGGTTCACCTCGTCTTTCATAGACCCATCTACTGACAAGTCCACTCCCAAATATCTGAATATTTTCACTTCCTCCATACTCCTTCCCTCCAATCTAATTTTTTTGTTATCCTCATCACCTTGCTCTTTCCTATGTACACTATTAATTTCCTTCTTTTCACATATCCTTCCAAACTCGTTCACCAACCTTTGCAACTTGGAGTTATGTCTGCACTCTAAGGACTCTGGTATTCTCCACTGAATACTGAGAGCTCGTGCTAGCAGTACTTAGCATTTCTTTATAAATAAAGCATTTCATGAAAGTAGTCCAGGTGCTGAGTGAATGGGCATAATTTCAATTTCTTTTTCAAAATTTATGTGTGTTTACAGTCGCACTAACAATGTTAGTGCGACTGTAAACATTGTTAGTGTTGTTTACAGTCACACAAACATTGTTTACCATCGCACCAACACGTTCACTTTAATCTAAATTATGAGATTTTAATTATTCAATGTTTTTTCTGAAGGCTTCCTTTTCAAACATCTTTTGTTTTTGTATTACATATTTTATTTCATCACAGAGCCAACTTGAAACTAACCATTAGAAACCACAGACAACTTTCTCACTGGATTTGTCACATCCAAATCTCTTTTATAAATTCAAATTCAAATTCAAAGTTTATTCTCTATAAGGATTACAATGCTGAGTTTACAGAATGCCTATGAATAGTAGTATGAATAGTAGTATTAATGAGAATTAGGCCAAGTGGGCCCCACTTTAAGTGCTTTGCTTTACACAGTTTTGCTAATATAGAAGTTTTCAATTATATACCCATTCTTCATTTATTCAGACTTCCTATAATTAATATGTATATTTAACACTCACTATAAGATAAGGATGAAAATATTTTATTAAGGTAAGTAATGTGAACAATAGAGCTAGGCTCAAAAAAAAAAGACAGAGTACAGTACACACATTTTTTGTTTTTTTCAACAAGTCGGCCGTCTCCCACCGAGGCAGGGTGACCCAAAAAAGAAAGAAAATCCCCGAAAAGAAAATGCTTTCATCATCATTCAACACTTTCACCACACTCACACATTATCACTGCAAAAACAGTGATAATTTGTGAGTGTGGTGAAAGTGTTGAATGATGATGAAAGCATTTTCTTTTCAGGGATTTTCTTTCTTTTTTGGGTCACCCTGCCTAGGTGGGAGACGGCCGACTTGTTGAGAAAAAAAAAAAAAAAAAAAAGTGTGTACTGTACTCTATGTCTTTTTTTCAAGCCAAGTTCTATTGTTCACTTAATATATGATAGTGTAAACATGTTATCAGGCTTTTATATGCATTTGAAAGTGAAAAAGATTATGTTTTGCTTTACAGAAATTTTTGCTATACAGGTGTAGCCAGGAACCTAAACTGCCATATAATCGGGGCCCTACAGTAGCCTGGAACCTAACCTGCTGTATAAGCAGGGCCCTACAGTAGCCTGGAACCTAACCTGCTGTATAAGCAGGGCCCTACAGTAGCCTGGAACCTAACCTGCTGTATAAGCAGGGCCCTACAGTAGCCTGGAACCTAACCTGCTGTATAAGCAGGGCCCTACAGTAGCCTGGAACCTAACCTGCTGTATAAGCAGGGCCCTACAGTAGCCTGGAACCTAACCTGCTGTATAAGCAGGGCCCTACAGTAGCCTGGAACCTAACCTGCTGTATAAGCAGGGCCCTACAGTAGCCTGGAACCTAACCTGCTGTATAAGCAGGGACCTACAGTAGCCTGGAACCTAACCTGCTGCATAAGCAGGGACCTACAGTAGCCTGGAACCTAACCTGCTGTATAAGCAGGGTCCTACAGTAGCCTGGAACCTAACCTGCTGTATAAGCAGGGCCCGCCTGTACTTTAAACAAATTAGGCATCCAGAACAAAATACGTGCTTAAATTTAAAGCAAAATCTATTACGTGAATAGCACTTACAAGAACTCACAGCTCTGGGATTTGCCGTGGCCTTGAAAATCATAACCCTCATAATTAAGAGGCTGACCGTAGAGGAAGGCTTTAACTGACTAAATTAATACTTGTTGATTCATGTTTATATAATGCAATTTAGCATAAACATTTCTTTTGAAAACAGCTGAAAAAAAGGGGTAAACAAAACTGTTCAATAATCTGCAGCCAGCTTACCTGTATGGCAAGCGTTCATAGTACACTCCTTCCATCCCAGAGAAATGATAGCGTGGTCGCATCTTGAACGCTAGTCTGGATACCATGGTTGATCCTGTAGTCTCAGGGTCACAACCATCCTGTAAATGTTGATAATTAACTCAGCTATAAAAATATAAGTATTGAATTCACTTACTGTAATTCTGTTTCAGTAACTAATTCTGTTTCAGTAATTGTAATTTTGTGCTTCAGTAACTGTAATTCTGTATTTCAGTAACTAATTCTGTGTTGCAGTAACTGTAATTGTGTCTATGCTTCAATAACTAATATACTATACTTGTAATCGGTCATGAGTGTTTTTCTACCCTCACAGTCTGGCCTAAAGCCAGGCTTTTCTAGTGATTGTCTGTTTGACCAGGTTGCTGCTGTTGGTGACCTGCTGCTCCACATACCCATCACAGCCTGGATACTCTAGCACTTGGTATAAGTAATCATCAAATTTGTACATCATACAGTGCAAGAGGAATGGGACATAATCAGATACAATACAAAAAAGGGGAGCTCAAACTCCTTGGACCAAGAGTCTTTCCCCAGTAACACAATAAAGGAGGGCCCCACTTTACAGCGCTTAGCTTTAGGGCATTCTGCTAATGCAGAAGTTTTTAATTATATCCATTCTTCATTTATTCAGACTTCACTATAAGCTAAGGATGAAAATATTTAAAGTTAAGTGATGTGTGTACTGTACAGTGGACCCCCGCATAACGATTACCTCCGAATGCGACCAATTATGTAAGTGTATTTATGTAAGTGCGTTTGTACGTGTATGTTTGGGGGTCTGAAATGGACTAATCTACTTCACAATATTTCTTATGGGAACAAATTTGGTCAGTACTGGCACCTGAACATACTTCTGGAGTGAAAAAATATCGTTAACCGGGGGTCCACTGTATATGCATTTTTTAGGCCTAGATCTATTGTTCATCTAATATATGATAGTGTAAACATGTTATTAGGTTTTTATATGCATCTCTAAGTAAAAAAAGGCTGTTTCACTTTACAGCAATATTTGCTTTACAACAGTAGCTTGGTACCTAACCTGCTGTATAAGTGGGACCTGTCTGTGTGGTATTGCTGTATAAGTGGGACCTGTCTGTGTGGTATTGCTGTATAAGTGGGACCTGTCTGTGTGGTATTGCTGTATAAGTGGGACCTGACTGTGTGGTATTGCTGTATAAGTGGGACCTGTCTGTGTGGTATTGCTGTATAAGTGGGACCTGACTGTGTGGTATTGCTCTATAAGTGGGACCTGACTGTGTGGTATTGCTGTATAAGTGGGACCTGTCTGTGTGGTATTGCTGTGTAAGTGGAACCTGACTGTGTGTATGCTGTATAAGTGGGACCTGACTGTGTGGTATTGCTGTATAAGTGGGACCTGACTGTGTGGTATTGCTGTATAAGTGGGACCTGTCTGTGTGGTATTGCTGTATAAGTGGGACCTGTCTGTGTGGTATTGCTGTATAGTGGGACCTGTCTGTGTGGTATTGCCCGTGTATGGAACCTGACTGTGTGGTAATTGCTGTATAAGTGGACCTGACTGTGTGGTATTGCTGTATAAGTGGGACCTGACTGTGTGGTATTGCTGTATAAGTGGACCTGTCTGTGTGGTATTGCTGTATAAGTGGGACCTGACTGTGGTATTGCTGTATAGTGAGACCTGACTGTGTGGTATTTTGCTGTATAAGTGGGACCTGACTGGTGTGGTAAATGCTGTATAAGTGGGAACCTGACTGTGTGGTAAATCGCTGTATAAGTGGAAAAATCCAGACTGTGTGGTATCGCTGTATAAGTGGAACCTGACTGTGTGGTATTGCTGTAATAATGGGACCTGACTGTGGTGGTATTGCTGTAAAGTTGGACCTACGTGTGTATTGCTGTATAAGTGGAACCAACTCGTGGGTATCGCTGTATAAGTGGAACCGACTGTGTGGTACGCTGTAAAGTGGGAACCTTACTGTGTGGTAATTTGCTGAAAGTTGGGACCATGACGTGTGGTATTGCTGTATAAGTGGACCTGACTGTGTGGTTATTGCTGTATAAGTGGACCTGACTGTTTGGTATGGCTGTATAAGTGGAACCTGACTGTGTGGTATCGCTGTATAAGTGGAACCTTACTGTGTGGTATTAGCTGTATAAGTGGACCTGACTGTGTGGTATTGCTGAAAAGTGGGACCTGACTGTGTTGTATTGCTGTATGAAGTGGGACCTGACTGTGTGGTATTGCTGCATAAGTGGAACCTGACGTGTTTGGTATTGCTGTATAAGTGGGACCTGACTGTGTGGTATTGCTGTATAAGAATCAAGGAAATGAAATCTGCAGTATGTACCCATTTTTTTTTATAGAGTAAGAACCTCACCATCCTATATAGTGTAAAAATAGTGAAGTATAGAAAATGATGTCAATCATCACATACTGTACAAAATATAATTGGTAAATATAAATTATAAAATAAAGTTATGAACAATGATCATATGCTATAGGAAAATATAACTACAATATCCTATAATACTAAAAGTTACATTTTAATCCTATAATAAACTCCTGTACTGAAGAAATTAATAATGATGACAAATGATCATTTTTATAAATTTTTAAGAAATAGAAATATCTTATCACCAACAAGTTCAGCTCACAATTATTATTAGTCATGGAGGGACAGAGTAAACCTGTATGGTACAGGGACTGGGGTAAGGGAGGTATGGCAGGAGTATTCAAGTTTGATCTGAGAAGGGCAGGGAGCTCAAATTCCTCAGATCAAGAAGCCATTTACCAACAACATGTCACTTAGCTTATAAATTAAAATTAGGAACCCTAAACCTAACCTTGTAAAAATCCCACATAACAAAGTGGGGAGGTTCAGTGTAGAGAAATGTACTAAGCACAAAGAAAATAGCACTTATACCTGGAGTTTACCTGGAGAGAAGTTTCGGGGTCAACGCCCCCGCGGCCCCGGTCGTGACCGTCCTTGCCAGAATCAAAGTTGTGAATGTATCAATTCCTGCATGACTATGATGGGCTTCTTTCTTGCATGCACGACCAAAATGTCACCCATATTTTGTACAAACATGTATCATGTGGAAATAAATCTTTGATGCTGACTGTCCCCATGGAGTCCCATGTTGTAATAAATTCATTGAATAAAGCCTTGAACTGTTCCCAATGTCCTGCTCCCAGAACGTTTAATCAACTCTGTAAACTTTTCAACCATTCACTCACAAGGTTTCTTAGCAAAGTTTGCAGACAGCATTAGGCCTTGACTGGTGATGAGGATGTCAATGGCAGGCAGGATTGCTGGTAGCCTGAGTCCTCCAGCGATGTGATGTCATCGAAAATGAAGGTGGAAGCAGTCTTTTCTCTGTTGTTCCTCGACTTCATCCACTCAGATACATTATTCTCAGTCCCCGCTGTCTGCAAGGATAGATGCCACTTGGACCTGGAGGAAAAGACTTAATGACTTAATTGTTGCTGTCTGTTATATCTACATTTTATACCATTTAAGCTGTCCATATAAGAAACAAAAGCACAATACCATATCAGAACACTACACAGAATACTCGTCACGTACTAGAATTAAACTTACGATGTTTTTGGCCAACTTGGAACCATTAACTGTGTCTAGTTAATGGTCCAGTGACTATTGTATTTACTCTTATAAACCTGAGCCAGTGGTTCATCTCTTTTTGCTATAATTCTGCCTGTGTATCAAAACAAATTTTGCATACGTTTTGTGTTTGCATCTTCTGCCTTTAGGTTTCATTCTCCTATGGGTGGGTATTTGTGTAAAGCTGTCCATATATCAGCTAATCATACTAGAGATTACTGTTCTGCATCATGTCTCTGACCAGAACTCCTAGAAGGTACAGAATATACAGACTAAAAACTAAGTATCATGCCTTCAGGTCTGTTCATAGTACTGTGGCTTTGAAGTGAGGGGTCCTGCTTAATAATACTAGAGAAATTGATCACAGTTTAGTTGATAATCTGTTTATTATTATAGCAGACAATAATTTTACTCAAGTTACATCTGGGGATTTACATTGTACAAGTTGAAAGTATTTTGTAGGTTTTTGTATATCAATAGTAAATATATAAAATATTTAAATTGCCGAAAGTAGTTTAAAAGTATGAAATGCTACAATGGGGTGTAGACTGTAATGTTTTGTGGTAGTATTTATACTACAATGGTAGTAATAAGTAATGTAACGAATTTTATTTTTTCCACAAACCCGGAGAAGGGGTTTACTAGCCGCCCTTGCTTCCCACATGTTAGGTTTGCCTCCTATGACAATGCATGGCTTATGAGAAGAATTCTGTTCCGCTTCCCCATGGAGATAAGAAAAAATAAAGAACAAGAATTTATCTAAGAAAGAAGGAAGAAAACCCAGATGGATGTGTGAGTGTGACCTAAGTGTATGCCGAACTAGCAAGATATAAACTTTTATCTTATTGTTTATGAGACAGAATAAAGGCACATCAGCATATCCTACCATCATATTAAAAACAATTTACAGGTTTCCATTCTTAAAACGTCAATCGCCTGACAGTAGACCTCTGTCCTGGGTGGTTGCTGTCACCAACCTACTAACCTAAGATTAAATAAATTATCAAGAATGTAACCTGCTCTGACTGATGGTCTACTATACAGTCACTGGGTTATAAAACATATTAATAATAAATTAACCAATAAATACACAAACTACAGGTGGGCCTCTCTTATACAGAAGCACTTAGGTTCTGTGCTACTGTAGGGCCCCACTAATACAGCAGGTTAGGTTCCAGGCTACTGCCTGTGAAGTGAAGATCGTTATGTAAAGTAAAACAGCCTTTCTCTTCACTTCCAAAATGCATATAAAGTCTAATAACGCAGTTTACACCTATTATATATTAATAACCCTTAAACTGTCCCTAAGCAGATCTACATTCACATGTGTATGCTCCAAAAGTAGATCTACGTTTTTTTTACATATTTTCAAATATAACAAAAAAAAAAGTAGATCAAAGTGTTTTTATGCATTTTCAAATGTAAAAAAAAAAAATCTACTTTTTTTACATACTTTCAAATGTTGAAAAAACGTAGATCTACATTTGGACAGTTTAAGGGTTAAGTGAT